AATGTTATGCCCCCGCGCTATAGCTTCTAACTCAGAATGAATGTTATGCCCCCTCGCTATAGCTTCTAACTCGGAATTAATGTTATGCCCCCGCGCTATAGCTTCTAACTCAGAATGAATGTTATGCCCCCTCGCTATAGCTTCTAACTCGGAATTAATGTTATGCCCCCGCGCTATAGCTTCTAACTCAGAATGAATGTTATGCCCCCTCGCTATAGCTTCTAACTCGGAATTAATGTTATGCCCCCGCGCTATAGCTTCTAACTCAGAATGAATGTTATGCCCCCTCGCTATAGCTTCTAACTCGGAATTAATGTTATGCCCCCGCGCTATAGCTTCTAACTCAGAATGAATGTTATGCCCCCTCGCTATAGCTTCTAACTCGGAATGAATGTTCTGCCCCCTCGCTATAGCTTCTAACTCAGAATGAATGTTATGCCCCCTCGCTATAGCTTCTAACTCGGAATGAATGTTATGCCCCCACGCTATAGCTTCTAAATCGGAATGAATGTTACCCCCCCGTGCTATAGCTTCTAACTCGGAATGAATGTTATGCCCCCACGCTACAGCTTCTAACTGGGAATAAATATTATCCCCCCACGCTATAGCTTCTAACACGGAATGAATGTTATCCCCCCACGCTACAGCTTCTAACTGGGAATGAATGTTCTGCCCTCACGCTATAGCTTCTAACTCGGAATGAATTATCCCCTAACTCGCACAACATTCTGGGTAATTACCCCCTAACACACAGCATTCTGTGTAATTACCCCTAACACACAGCATTCTGGGTAATTACCCAATAACTAGCACAGCATTCTGGGTAATTAGCCCCATAACTCACAACATTCTGCGTAATTACCCCTAACTCAAAGCATTCTGGGTAATTACCCCCTAACACACAGCATTCTGGGTAATTACCCCCTAACACACAGCATTCTGGGTAATTACCCCTAACACACAGCATTCTGGGTAATTACCCCCCTAACACACAGCATTCTGGGTAATTACCCCCCTAACACACAGCATTCTG